CAAGTCGTCCCTGAACTTATTGTGGTGAAAATGACCTCCCAGGAGGAAAGTAGCCTGTACCGCGGGACTTCGGAGATGATAAATTGGGTGGTCGGGGGACGTCTGGGTGTTAACTAAGCAGAGCGCCCGGCACAAGACTGGGGTACTTGTGTCAGGAGGTGTGAACTTGGATCTAGACTACGAGCCTATGTTGGAGGCGCTATTTAGCGTCGGTGAGCCGGCAAAAGAACTGAAAGGAACCACAACCCCCGCCGGACACTCGGATTGGGAAGGCCGAGTATTCCGTATACCTTCCTGAAAAAACACGAAAAACAAGTGGCCACGGTCCAGTTGCCGTAGAGATCATGAGGATGGTGAAGAAGCTTGGAGGATGGAAGCAGAAACTGTGGAAGGGAGACAAGTTGGAGCTGCTGCTGTTTGGGATTCCAAGGGACATGACGAGGATAGAGTTCAAGAACTGTTGTGACAGGGAGGGACTGCACTGCCTAGCAAGGGGACAAGTAGGCAGAGAACATGAACACTTCCGGGTGAAATTGACCAAGGGAGACAGCCAAGAGTGCTTGGGGGTTGATATCGAGAAGCTGTCGAACTACGTAAGGAAGTTTGGATGGAGGGTTTGCATCGCGAACATGATAGAAACAGAGAAGGTAAGGAGACAAGAGGCGAGGGCGACGGAGGCGAAGAAAGGACCGAGCAGGGCAGTCGAACAAGCAAGTCAGAAGAAGTCCGAGAAGAAGCGGAAGGCGAACGATGGTGTGCGCAAAATCTCCAATAGGGAAAAGCGCAAGCTGAGAGTCGGGTCGTGGAACGTGTGCGGGTTCGCAAGGAGTGAGCGCAAGCGGTTGGAAATAGTGGACCAAGTAGAACAAAGCGATCTAGATGTAGTGGGGATCCAAGAGACGTGGGAATTGAAGGATGGGGACGTGGTAAGCAAACTAGGGAAATACCGGTGGGTAGGGAAGGCAAGAAAGGGCTTAGACCCGAAGAAAAGGGGGGAGGGGGGAGTCGGATTCCTGGTCAAGGAACACTTGTTTGACGTGGTGGAAGTAGTGGTGAAAACGGAGTTCGAGGAAAGCCTATGGCTTAAGATACCTGGGGAGCGGGGTGAGAAAGACTTGTTTCTAGGGAACGTATACGTCCCACCGTCGTCGAAGAAAGTCGCAAGCAAGGCGCAGGAGAACTTTGGACAAATTGGGGAAGATGTCCAGAGGTTCAGTAGGAAGGGAGAAGTTGTCATGGTGGGCGATTTCAACTCCAGAGTAGGGAAAGCTTCCAGTAGAGGACAGGCGATCGGGCAGCACGGAGAAGACAAAGTGAATGACAACGGAGTGAGGATGCTTGAATTCTTGGGAAGCAACGAACTGATGGTGTTGAACGGTAGGAGGGAATGCGATAAGCCGGAGTTCACAAGGCAACGGGCAGTTTGCAATGAATACTCAATCCTCGACTACATCCTGGTAGATAGGGGGAGCACGCAGATCCCAGAGCTGCACGTAAGTGCGATAGATATAGGTTCGACCGACCACTTCCTCATATGGGCAAACATCGACCGATCTAGAAAGATCAAGAGTAAGAAACAGAGGAAAGTGTTCCGGTGGAAGGTAGAGCGTTTGGGAGACGATGGGACACGGGATGAATTCCAGAAGGGGCTGGCTGGTAGTGTAGAATCCTTCAGGAAACTGCTGAGAAGCGTCGAAGACGGACAGGTAGACGTACAGACAGCAGGGGACAGGGTGATTGAAGGGTGGGAGTCCATCGTGAACGCAACGGCAGAGAGAGTAGTGGGAAGGAAGGTGGTACGATGTGGGGTATCGGTTAAGTGGTGGGATGACGAGCTGAAAGAAGAAATAGGGGAACGTAGAGAAGTCTTCAAGCAGTACCTGAGTGAGGCGTCTGAGGAGAGTTGGGAAAAGTACAGGGCCAAGAGAAAACAGGTGAAGGGACTAGTGAAAAAGAAGAAAAAGTGTATTTGGGACGAAGTAGTGCAGAAGGCCAACGGAGGCCTGGAGGGAAACGTCAAGCAGATGTGGGAAGGGATTAGTGGAATGGTAAAAAAGACCGCGCAAGGGGGGGATACAGGGGTCGCAACTTTGCGAGGTGTGAACGGTGGATTAGTCAGCAGTGGGAAGGGAAAAAGGGAAGTTCTAGCAGGACACTACAAGAGACTTGGAGTGCCCTCGGAGAATGAAGCTTTTGACCAAGCGTTTAAGAAGGAGGTGGACGCATGGGCCCAAAAAGAAGAAGAGACATCGAAGGCAGACGTTGGGAACGTAGAACTAGAAAAGGAGTTCACTGAGGACGAGGTTGAGGCGTGTGTGAACAAGCTGAAGTGCCACAAAGCAGCAGGAGCGGATGGGATAGTCAACGAGTTCATGAAGTTTGGGGGGAAGGGGATGATCCAGCTGATGGTACTGCTGTACAATTGGGTGTGGAAAAACGAGTATACGCCAAGTAGATGGAGGGAAGGAGTGGTTGTGAACTTGTTCAAGAAAGGAGACAAGACTGACCCAGGAAACTACAGGGGGATCACACTGTTGAACACAGTAGGAAAAGTGTTCTGTAAGCTGCTGAACGATAGGATAGTGGGAGTATTGGAGAAGGAACATAGCATTAGTGAGGGCCAGGCAGGTTTCCGCAAGAAGAGGGGGTGCGTAGACCACGTGTTCACGGTAGGGAGAATCATCCAAGGTAGAAAGAGGGCGGGAAAGCCGACGTACTGCTTCTTCCTGGACGTGAAAAAGGCATACGACACCGTATGGAGAAATGGGTTGTGGAAACAACTGTCCAAATACGGGATCAAGGGGAAAATGTGGAGAGTGCTGAAGAAGATGACAGAGTGCACGAAAAGCGCGGTCATGCTAGACGGAGAACTGTCAAAATTCTTCGACATTGAGCAGGGGGTCCCACAAGGTTGCACGCTGTCCCCAACATTGTTCCAGGTGTTCATCAACGATCTGTTGGAAGTCGTAGAGGCAGTCCGGAAGGGAGTAAAAGTAGGGGACACGGAAACGTCGGTTTCAGGAATGCTGTTTGCGGATGATTTTGTCGGTATGTCGGACACCCCTGAGGGACTGCAACTGCAAATTGACGCGGCGAAGAAGTTTACTGATAAGTGGAGATTGTCTGCCAACGTTCAGAAGAGTGCCGTCATGGTATGCAACGAGAACAAGGAGGAACCAGTAGAACATAGATGGAAGTGGGGGATCGAGGAGATTGCAGTAGTGGACCAGTACACATACCTCGGAGTAGAGATCGCAAAAGACTGCTCGTGGAATGCACACATGTCCAAGGTAGCGGAAAAGGGCAAAGCACGAGCAGGGAAGCTGCACCCAATACTCGCAAACCGGCACCTCGATACACGCATCAAATTGACGGTTTTGAAGAGCGTAATCGTACCGCCGCTAGAGTACGCCGGAGAAGTATGGGAAGGAAATAAGAAGGTAGTGAAAGAACTCGAGGCGGCGCAGATGAAAGCAGCGAAAACCATCCTAGGATGCTCCAGGCGCACAAGTAATGCAGCCGTGAGGGCAGAATTGGGGATCCAATCCCTACGGTCGGGAAGAGACGCGAGGAAGCTGACCTGGCAGTATCGCATGTGCGGGATGGGAGAGGAGAGGTTGCCGAGAATTGTATGGGAGGCGAAGTGGGCAAACAAAAAGAGGGGTAGACAACCCACGGAATGGGTCAAGGTTGTAGAGGACGTATGGAAGGGGCTCGACATCGACGAAGATGAAACGCTGGAAACGGAGGGTCTACAGGGGTTCAAGGAGAAGATATCTGTTGCTTGTGCCGAGAGAGAAGAACAGAATCTGAGGAAAGAATCCAAGGATAAGGAGGGTCTAGAAGTGTACGGAATGTTGAAGGAAGGAATAGGGTTCAAGGACTACCTACATGGACCAATGGATGCAGGAACAAAGCTTAAGGTCAAATTCAGGACCGGGGACATAGGCCTTCGAGAACGTCGACGAAGACATAGGACGGTAGACGAGGAAGACGACGAGTTCAAATGTGATTGCGGCTTCGAATGCGAAGACCGTGTTCATGTAGTCGCGGAATGTCCGTTGTACAAGAAGGAGAGGGAAGTGTACGTGACTGAGCTGGGAAAAATAGATGGAACGTACAGGGAGATGTTTGAGGCATGGAATAGAGAGGAAAGGACGGTAGCTGTAGTGGGGCATAGGAGGTGGGTTGAAAAGGCGGGAAGGGATATCGTTAGGATAGACAGACTAGGGAAGACATTTTTGAGCCACCTTTGGCAAAGTAGAAAGGAACGATTGGCCATCGGTGATCGGTCCTGTGGGAACAATGCTCCGTCCTCTCGAGGACGCGTGGTCAGTGGTCTAACCGCAAAGGCATGCAAAACATGAGAGTACGCCCCCCCTCAAAAATAACCAACTCTTCTCGTTGTCTCGTGAGATTCTCTACATTGTACTCCGAACAACAGCAGGTGGTGCGTGTGTCTGACTTACCGTTGCCGCGGCGTTCCTGTGCGAGAGGCCGCCCGAGAAGGAGAGCTCCCTTTCCCGCAGCGGCGAAGACGTTACGAGGAGCGACTCCAACGCGCCGCTGCCCGACATGGACGTGTTCTGGTCATCGATACCCCAACAGCACGCCAACAAAGACACGAAACGTCCAAGGGGGTGAGAGTCCACCAAACAGCAGCAAAAAGGTGGAAGGGGAGGGAGGGGGGCGTATCCTCGTGTGTTGCATGCCTTAGCGGTTGGACCATTGACCACGCGTCCTCGAGAGGACGGAGCATTGTTCCCACAGGACCGATCACCAATGGTCAATCGTTCCGTTCCTTCCAACTTTGCCAAAGGAGGGGAGGGGGGGGCACAATAGAAGACCGGCGAGTGTGATCAAGAGGTAGAAACACACAGGCCTCCGAGTTGAGTCACAACAAAGCCATCAAGAAAAAAAGACAGCAGCAGCAGCAAGAACTGCTTGACGTGTGACGAATGTCATCATCGATGGAAACAATTTGACCGCATGTGAAGAGTTCAACCCACATGAAACAACCTTCGCACCACCTGCACAGCCACAAACAAAACGCGTGACAGGGAGCAAGCAGCAAACAGCAGCACCGAGAAAATATGACAAGAGGACAAAAAACTGCGAAAAAACAAGACGTAAACGGGAAAAAACGGGACAAGCCACAGGACAGGCACAGCAGCAACCGCGGGGAATAAAACACAGCGGAAACAAGACCTTAAATCGATCCACAGCGCACAAAAAAAAAAAAACAAGCACGGAAAGACCCGGCGATTTGAAGTTTCCAACGTGACAAGGCAAATTACACACAGGGGAAGGTACGCCCTTCCTGTCCAGCGGGACGCCGCCAACCCTGGTGTGCTTTCATCCGTCAGCCGATTAGCGCGGTCGTGGAGTATTATTCTTTTTTCATTTTCCATCAGTTTATATCAACGCTGACAGCCAGCTCATAGCATTTCTCCCCGGTAGGAGCCATCTCAAACCCGCGGTCACACGGATCGTTGCTAATGCACGAAAAAAAAAAAACACGCAAGAGGTACAATAGCAAGTTTGTACCTTCGCCAATCTCGGCCCAGGAGACGCCCCGGCGTCCATGGACACAATCCCCGACTCTAGCTTGAGCGATCTCATCCCATCCGCCGCGGCCGCCGCCGTCAGGTCGCGGTGTCGCTGCTCGATCTCGCGCATCAGCATCTGGTGGGCCGTGGAGGCCCTTGCCATGAGGACGGCCGGCATGATGAACACCACCGACCCCTCCGTAAACTCCACGGGGCCGCCTACATCGCGAATGATGGTGACAGCCTTCTCCTCCTTCAGCGAGGACAAGCTGCACCAACACGGCGAACAAGTGGTGGCGTTTCGGGTACAACGGCAAGGGCAGGGGCAGGGGCAGCGGAAGCGGAAGCGGCAGCGGCAGCAACAGCAGAAAGTAGTAGAATTGCCGTTGTAGCACTATTATAGGATGCACTAACAGTAGCGGGGTAGAACAAGAGAATCATTACGAAGTTGTTTCATATCTATGCAGCACGTGGACATGCACAACGCGGTTCATCTAGTCTACATGAAGTTTGTGGACCACGTCGAGTTCATTTGTACCCACGTATGAGCTTTTTCATCTCTTCCTCTTTGACGATGATGGTCAGTCAAGTCACCCCGATGACCTTTGCTCCCGTAAACGACCGGAACCTGGTGGGCATGACAGCAGAAGTATATTGACCCCCCCCCCCCCCCCCCCCCCCCCCCCCCCCCCCCCCCCCCCCCCCCCCCCCCCC